CGAGGTGACATTTTCAATGCAGTAACTGTTACTGAATTGAGAGTTACTGCATTGAGAATGTCACCTCGATTGGCGATGAAACGTTTGCAATACGACTGCCAAACTGGGCGAACAACTGAACGCCATATATATATATATATATGTATATATATATATTGGAATGTCCTCCGAGGGAAACGCGATCTGTCTTCATTCGAAATTACGAGCGCGATCGTATGTGAAAGACATTTATATTTTCTGTATACACAGACATTTATTACGAAATGTAATTCTTGTTCGAAATGAAACTTTTGGACTAAATTTTCGTTATTTGATGAAATACATGGATCCAAATGGTTATTCTGAACAATTTCATGTATTCTAACGATAACAACACGGCATCAGGAGGATTCATATCATGATTAACCAAGGGGACACTTCGTAACGGACAATAAATTGCGAAAATGCACGTATGTTCCCGATTATTCGGGGATTGAATTTTCAATAACTATATTAAATTGTGGTAACTTAAGTTACTAACAGTCCTCTGCATCAAAGAATTCCTTGATGCAGTTCTTAAGCATAAATAATGAACTTTTGTTAATAATTATACTTTAAAGATTTTTTGTACTTAAAACAGATCTGTAGCGGATATTTGGAACGGTCGTTATAACGACCTGAATACATGTCTCTTGCGTTTGATTGCATGTATATGTTCAAACTCAATTCTGTCGTGTGGTGAAAAGATGAATGTCCTATGACGCGCTGTTAGTGCAATTTTATATCGGTATCAGTGAAATAAACATTGATGTCTGCAGACATTTACAAACCATTGTTTGAGTAAATATTCTCTCAAAAATTTGATACTTTAAAGAGAATCGCAGAGCTCTGAGAGATTCTTTAACATGAAGTCTACATATGTTTTGAATTTTTCAATAATAGTTAGCTGAATGAGTTGTATTTGAATAATTCGTATCCGAACTGGACGCTTAACTGGCAAGAGCCATATTCGTCCTGTGCAAACTGAACTGAACTGAAGTAGATAGTGGTGCCACTGGAAAACAGAAAATCGAAACATTTCCTTAATTTTATTTGTATCTCAATAAAATTTGCTTCGCAATCTGACTTCATTGCTGTCAGTTATTCCTCCCAAAACCGTGTTTTATTCTTAATTGGTTTGGATCCAACTTAAATGGCGTAATGTATTATCGCGTGGTAGATACGCACACACCCTACATATAAGTAGTGTTCGTCAGGGTTTCCTTCATGTTGTTTCTGCGTGTTTCTTGCTATCTGCGCTCAATGGTTGACGATTCCAGGGTATTTCTACGGAATATGAAGAGTCGCCACAAAAATTACAAGGGATTCTTAGTGGATTTCCGAGAATATCAACTTTAAATGTGTAGTTCATTCTACATATATAATTCTCTGACTCGAGCTGTTTGGACGAAGGAACACGGATATGATCTCCCGGAAGGATCCTTCCAGGAGATCATATCCGTGTTTGACGAAGTAGTAAGAACATCGATGTTCATATTCCTTAGTCAAATGTTGCTGCGTTCGTTGCAAAAGACAATCAGCCGGGGAGTCAGGTAAATGCAATGAATGATAATAAATCTATTGATTTCATTTTAGATACAAGGAACATTCTTGTGAGGCGCAGGTCAAAGTTCGTCATGTAAATAGGATCTACACCATAGTAAAGTGGTCAATGATGGACCTGGATGAGCGAATCAACTGGGTTTAATGTGGTCACTGTGGAAGATGGACACACTATCAAGCTGGAGGAGGAATACGTCTACGTACTTTGTTTGTGTACGTAAAGAGGGATGCGCCACCTCACCGTGGTGTCTCCAGAGAACGAAAATGGTCCCAAAGGAACCACCACTCTCTGATTGATGTACCGTTTTCCGTGTTGTTTTTCTTATTAGTACCTTGGGTGGGGAACATAAAATGATAACGGTAATAATAGTTGCAGTCGCAGTAGTCATAGTAGTTGTAGTAGTGAAATTACTTTAGATCGACCTAGTAGTGGTTATCGCAGTGATCGTAGTCGTATTATCAGTAGCAGTACTAGTTGTCGTCGTCGTAGTGATATTACTACTAGTAGAAGGAATTAGCGTCCATGTAGTAGGAGCTGCAGTTAAGGTAATTGTAGTACCGGTTGCAGTAGATGTCATTGTGGAGTTTTTACTTGTAATACTTTAGATAGCTTGCACTATCTACGACAACTAAACGCAAATTATCTCAACGTTCCTGGATACAGCGAATAGCAAAACGACTATTGCTCCGAACGGGTAAGAAGACGGACAACGCGTAACCACCGGTTTATAGAGCAAGACTTGCAGCGAAAGGTTTACACGTGCAACGAGGTAGCGTGACTCACCGGGACAAGTGATAATTCCGCGGTTGAACCTAAACAGGTAATTGCACCTAGTGAAACAAAAGCTTGATTCGAGTAGAAGAGAACTCGTAGGCAATAGGTGAAAGTGCCGTGTTACTACGGTACCGCTTGCAACAGTAGATGCAGTTGTAATCGAAGTCGTATTTGGCGTCATAGTGGTACCATTTCTAGAACTTGTCGATTATTTTTTCGTCTTCTTTCTTACTATTTATATGCATACAATCTGTGTATTATATATATATATACATCCGTTGGCTTTTTATTAGCCTTTTCATATATATACAAAGGCTATAGTATACTTTTGCCTATTATTAATCGTGCTAGGATAAATATTTCCATTATGTTGAAAAGTTAAACATAACACAACATAATGCACACATTTCATGCTAATTATTGCCTTTGATTTTCATAAAGATGTATAAATGCACATTACATATTGGTTCATATTTCTTTATTTGTGTATTTATAGTCAGGTCAGAAAAAGTCAGCTCAGGTTGCACAGGACTGAATATGGCCACGGCGAATCGAGCGTCCAGAATTCCTTCGATGGTATGCTCACTACGTGGGCACCCAGTTTTGATGAAATAAAAATGAGAAATAGGATCTCATCTCACCGAGTTGGCGAGTGAATCGTTAGATATGAGCGCTCCATTATGTGCACCAGTGAAAAAGGGAAATAGCATCCTAAACTCCTA